CGTCGAATGGTGTACATAATAATTAATATTGTTGTAGATAAGAACACATAAAATATCGACCGTGTGGACTCGTGTGTTATTTACACAGTTTGTAGTTTGTAACATACATAAAACTTATCATCTTATCTGTGCTATTAGGTTATCAAACGTCGACGTTTGTAATACTAACATGATACATAATATTTCGTTTTGGATAATTTTATTTTTCACATTTAACGACAAATTATGTCATACAACAATAAATGAATAACAAAGCAAGTACAGCTAGACACCGCAGTACTTAATTAGTATACTCAGTGGTCTAATTGATACTTTGTGTCACTATTATAAGTATTGTCTTGAATTATTAGCGTGTTTAAAAGTGTTAATTAAACATTACTATAAAACTTGTTTATTCTCTGTCTGAATTACCTTTCTCATATCTTCTAAGTCTTATAAGTGTGCTGCTTAAATCTCTTGGTGCAGTACATAAATTGGTGTCAGAAGTGGGATAAAATGCTTTGTTTTGCTACATTTTGGTTTAATAGTTCAACACACACGTCAACATCATATACCCCATATGAGTTAGTTTTTGGACACAAACCACAAATCCCCTCGGCCTTATCACAAGCACCAAGTCCACAATATAACTATGATGATTACTCTTTCGATCTTAAAAGAAAGCTACAGGAAAGCCATGAGATAGCCAGGAAAAATATTTTGGAAAGTAAAGAAGCAAACAAAGAGAGGTATGACCAATCTGTCCAACCCATCCAAATCCACGTAGGAGATAAAGTTTTGGTAAAAAATCATAAAAAAAGAAATACATTTGATAAACATTGGACAGGACCCTGGCAGGTACTAGAAGTATACGCTAACGAAAACATACTAATATTAAAGGGGCGAAAGAGAGTCCGAATACACATAAACAGTGTCAAACAATTTTTTGAGTAAAGAAATCGTAAATGTTTTTTATTAGACTGTTTGCATAATGTGTTTTTTTACTCTAACAATAATAAATAGAATAAAAAGAAAAAGTATAATTAATTATTGTTCTAGGTCAAAAATTAAATTTATAGTAGCAGATTTCGAATTCACAAACGTTAATGGGAAAGACATTTTGTTGGTATCCGGAGCAATATCAAACAGCCTAGACAAGTTCAAAGTGGTAAAACTGGTAGGGAGACCGCTGATATTAACAAAAGAGGGAAAACTAAGGGTTTTTCAAAAAGTAAATTTACCGGATGTGCAAAACCATATTAAAAAAATTTTTCGGTACGAACCAGAAAAGCGATTGCCAAAAGAACTCAGGGAAAGTGTGTTCAACAAAGGAAAAAGCACACTGTCAACCGTATTTATCCAAAATTATCTACACAAGGGTAATCGACCACCCATTCTGGTTTTTTGGAATGGAAATAATGATTTAAATATAATGAAAGGATTAAGGTTACCAGGAATAAAACTCATACTTAATATTACGGCATACGACGATGAAAATAATGGGAATTTCCACCTAAAACTAACAAATTTTTCTAAGGAAAACAGGGTAGTTTTAGCAAGTATACCGATAGGAAAACACAAAAAGAACGGAAGAATGTTATCTTATAACTTATCATCTTATCTGTGCTATTAGGTTATCAAACGTCGACGTTTGTAATACTAACATGATACATAATATTTCGTTTTGGATAATTTTATTTTTCACATTTAACGACAAATTAAGTCATACAACAATAAATGAATAACAAAGCAAGTACATCTAGACACCGCAGTACTTAATTAGTATACTCAGTGATCTAATTGATACTTTGTGTCACTATTATAAGTTTTGTCTTGAATTATTAGCGTGTTTAAAAGTGTTAATTAAACATAACTTTAAACTTGTTTTTTCTCTGTCTGAATTACCTTTTCATATATTCTATAAGTCTTATAAGTGTGCTGCTTAAATCTCTTGGCGCAGTACATAAATTGGTGTCGGAAGTCGGATTTTTAGGGGAAGTCCAAGAGTCCTCAGTGATTCAACTGCAAGTGGAGACGTCCATCTACAGAAGAGTCAAGAATCCAGTTAAGGCAAAGAAGATAATAAGGCATCCAGCATCAGAAGAAAAAAAATCATGGACTATTTGTAAGTCAGCATGATATATCAAGTTTCGATAAATAGTAATTAATAATTCATATAATACAATTGTTGGGGCATTATTTATGGTAATTGGATAATCCGTCAGCCCTGGAAGTTTAAAAGTTAACAATAAAGTTAAATTAAAACAAAATAAAAAATTGGTTAACAGATAAATACTTTTAAAATATTTTGTTGTATAACGGAGTTATTTGAATAACTTTTGCCAGAAATTAAATATTGAAATAATATTGTTATTTCTTATTGACAAGTAATCTTCTTTAGAAAGTTTCGGTATACAATTTTTTTTAATCAGAAAAATATTTTATGATATTAAGAAGTGGACGCATAGTATCAACGGCTAACCAAACTCAAATTTTCATTTCTTTGGATTCCGCTTTAAGACTAATCCCATCTTATGATGGCAGTAGCGAAAGCGGGTTATCACTTTATCTTTCAAAAGGAGATTTTGTCTGGTCGAATATCGAGGAAAATTTAAAACCGATTATTTTAAAGGCACTAATAGCTGCTAAACATATTTTTGATAATATAAGTTCTATTCCGAGTTTGCAAATGCAATTAAATTCTCTGAAACAAATGCATAAGGAAGACGTATTCGGTTTTGGGAATCGAATATTAGATGTCCAAAATAAGCTAACGGGAGCTTTAACCATAGATAAAACGCGTCAGGAAAGTAAAATTATTGCGGAAATTATAGCTAAACAAGCACTCGCCATTCTAGTAAATGGGGTTCATAGTTCATTAAGTATAATACTAAGAGCTAGGAATATCTCGACATTCGAGGAGGGCATTTCTCTGGCGTCCGAACAGGGAAAATCACTTAATGATAGATACGGTCAGAATAGTTCTTACAAGAACGGGAATAACTTTAAAAAATCCAACCAAAATAACAACGATAAAAATAATAAACGCTGTTATGGGTGTGGTAAAACAGGTCATATTAAGGCTCAATGTAGGGGAAATTCGAGTAATAATAATCCTAATTTCAAAAACCCAAATACTAACGGTCCTCAAAAAGATTCAAATACAGTAAGGGTTTGCGAGTTTTGCAAAAAGGGGTCCCATGAAACAAAAAATTGCTTTAAGAAACTCGCCAACGAAAGAAAACAAAAAGCAGGTTATAATAGAAATAATGGGAGCAATTATAATGACAATGCTAATGAAGGTGCCAAAACGGTACAAGAATTGGCTAATACTGTGCGCATTGTGACTGAAATTAAAAACAATGAGGTCGCATGTATGTCGAAACAGTTGGCAGAGGGGCAAGGCAAATTTTTCTTGGACAGCGGGTCCGATTTAAATACAGTTAAGTTGACGGCATTGCGTCAAGACATTTTGGTCTATCAAGACAAAGTTAGCGTAATCAAGGGGATAAATAACGAGCCAATAAAAACATTAGGGTATACGTTTTTAAAATTAAATTTCAATGGAATATGTGTGGAGGACAAATTTGATGTCGTAGAACCGTGGTTCCCAATACCAAGCGGAGGTCTATTGGGACGTTTTTTTTTAAAAAATAATAAAGCAATTATCGATCTAAATAAAGAAGTTCTAATATTTCCGGATGAAAACGAATTAAATAAATCAATAATTATACCAGCAAGAAGTAATTGTTTAGTAAATATCAAAGTAAACAAATCTCTCAAAGAAAATGAACAGGAATGCTGGATAATTAATAAACAAGAATTAACAGAGGATGTTATCATAGGAAATAGTATAAGTAAAATAAATGGGGATAACATAATTGGAAATATAATTAACATTTCGGAAGAACCAGTAGAAATCGAAGAGTTAACTATAGAACACATCAAATGCGAACCGTATTTAGAAAATAATGTCTTAGTTGTTAATTCCAAGGGGAGTAATTATAAAAGTAACAACGAAAGAGATAGGATCACACTACTGCAGGAAAACCTCTGTTTAGACCATTTAGCGGAAGACGAGAGAGAAAGTGTGCTGGAAACATGTTTTAAATTTTCGGACATATTTCATTTACCAGGGGATTACCTAACACATACAGATATCGTAAAACATAAAATCACGCTAAGGGATGATCAAATGAAACCAATAAATATTAGACAGTATAGGTTGCCACAAGCTTTTCAGCAGGAGACTGAAAACCAGGTACAAGAAATGAGGGAAAGTAACATAATAAAACCAAGTTTATCAGAAATTTTATCTTACATGAGTAAGGTGATATCAACAAACTTTGAGGGGGAGAAAAGGGATTTGTCCTTTTTCATTTTAGAAAAGACAGCTAGTCTAATATGTGAAAAATTAGACAGTAATATAGTCTCAAATAAATAAATTAATAAATTGGAATGGAAACAAAGGAAAATGAAAAATAAACAAATCAAAATAATTAAAAAACAAAATATTTTGGAATTATTTACTTTATCAGAAATAATTAACTATGCAAAAATAGGGTTGATTCATCCTAACATATTATCACCAAAAGAACTTTTGGAACAGTTTAAAGATATAAAAATTTCTTTACCCAGTGGAACGGATTTGCCAATTGACTTAGGGTTAACAGGGATATATGAATTATTAAAATTATCGGAAATCATGATATATCACGCTGATGGTAGAATGGTGTTTTTAATCAAATTACCATTAACATATGAACAAGAACTAACATTATATAATATTGTACCTTTTCCTGTAAAAACTATTAATAATATTTTTGTTTATATTCAACCTAACTATAATTTTGTAGCAATAAGTAAAACACATGAATATTATAGTATTTTGAATGATCTAGATATTTTAAGATGTAAAAAATCAAAAACATTTATGTTGTGCCCTGAAACCAAGGCGATCCACCCACGTAAGAATAAAGTACCGTGCGAGGTACAGTTGTTCCAAAACTCAAAAGACTTACCAGAAAATTGTGAAATGATGTACTTCCAACTGGAAACAACGTTATTTCACAAATTGCAACTGAAGAACCAATGGTTGTACGCAACGACCGAAGAACCGCTTGTAATCGCTTGCGACGGGAAAAAGGAGTCCATCGCTCATACCATAAACGACGTTGGCACCTTATCACTACCCGAAACATGCAAAGCATACGCATCGCACGATCTGTTGATACCGGCTGCATTGGGGGTCACGAAAAACTATACAGACTTTGTGCCCACTACAAGTATGACAATTGACCTAACTTTATTTACTAATGAACATGTAATTCCAGTAGTAGATGCAAGGCGGATCACAAACGCTAATCAATTTAATGATTTACCGACGACCATTGGGAAGTCAGTTAAACAATTGAGAGAACAGCTCGACGAACAACTGCGAGCTAAACACCGTCGAATACAACCTATAATTAATTATGTCTTGGCAGCAGGCATAATATGTATAGGAATACAGCGGGCTGCTCATGTTTCATTGTAATACGATGGAAAAAAACCAGAGTTGACACACAAGTGCCAACAAATCAAAACAACGAGTACGGTAATGAAGAAATACCGTTGGAACACCGATGGCCAGATGACTTCGAGCAGGGGTATTCATCCGCGTCGGTATGCGAGCCGAGCGTCGCAAATAATAGCACGCCGCTTCCTACGTGTCCAGATGGCAATTTGACAACACATGCTAAGATACGTTTGGAATACGGTTTCTAAAGGGAAAAATAAAAATGTATTGTTTATATTATATAACTTATTAGAATAGTTGTAAAATTTAAGAAAAATTTTAATTTTTGGTATACATTTTTATCTTGTAGAGGGAGGGATGTAATAAGCAGTGGTGTACAGACTAATAATAACAAACAATAGTATTGGGATTATTACATCCCTCCCTCTACAAGATAAAAATGTATACCAAATATTAAATGGTCATATTATACAACATCCGAGGAAACGTTTGTGGTCGCTTGTGAAGGACAAAAAGAGTCAGCAACACTTACCATATCTTTCAAATCCAGTTGCATTATCGGTCACAACAAACGATACGGACTTTTTGCCCGCGACAAGTGTGATTATCGATTTAGATTTATTTACTAACAAAGAAGTAATTCCGATAATATATGCAAAGCAATTCACCGACACAAATCGATTCGATGATTTGCCAACCGGTGGGAAATCAACGAAGCAATGAAGATATCGGATCTACAAACGGCAACGAACTAAACATCGGCAATCACAGACAGTAATTGATTGTATATTGGCAACGACACGAAGGAAAAAAAAACCAGAGACGACACACAAGAGCCAACTAACCAAAACGGTGATAAAAAAAAATGCCCAGATGGCAATCTGACAACACATGCTAAAAAACGTGCTAAAAATACGGTTTCTAAAAGGAAAAATAAAAATGTATTGTTTATATTATAAAACTTATTAGAATAGTTATAAAATTTAAGAAAAATTGTTATCTTGTAAGTTATATTAGTAAGACTAACCATTGTTTAGATTAATATAAAAGGGCACTAGTTATTAAGCTAGACACCGCAGTACTTAATTAGTATACTCAGTGATCTAATTGATACTTTGTGTCACTATTATAAGTATTGTCTTGAATTATTATTGTGTTTAAAAGTGGTAATTAAACATGACTATAAACTTGTTTTTTCCCTGTCTGAATTACCTTTTAATATCTTCTAAGTCTTATAAGTGTAATGCTTAAATCTCTTGCCGCAGTACACTCCGATTTAAGTTTTTTTTTTTCTAAATATTTGAATAATTCAAAACATTTTCTGTGGCACAATTTTAAAATAATTTTTCGTTAATTAATTATTTTAGTTTAAAAAGTTAAAATTTTCAGTTTTTCAAATTGAAGTAATTAATTAACTGAAAACAGTTTTAAAATTGTTTTAGGATGCCTTAAAAATGTTACGAAGAATTCAAATGTTTATTCAAAACTTAAATCAGAGTATTTTTCGGTAAGTTCTGTAGAAACGTATGTTTTTGTACAAAAATAGATCCTATATGCGTTAAAAGTTTAAAAAAAAATTAATGAAAATAGATCCTTCTTTTCTATGGTAATATGTACGTTTAAAAATGTTTGCTTAATGTTAAGTTTTAGTGACAAATTGCCTATAGAATAAATGCTAATGGAGAAGATTTTTTAAAAAAATTGTACATGCTAGTGGTCCATTCTAGATCTACCTTTGACCTAACTTCAAACCTTAAACTCTTAAAACTTCACCTAAAAAAATTAAAAGAAATAATTTCAATCCCTTCTGGTGCAAAGGATTTATGATATATTTTGGGTTTGCCAACATTTATAAAATACCTAATCCTGGAAGACGGTATTATCAAAATGTATTTTTATTATTTTTTTTATTCATGTTTTAACGATTATTTTAAAACAGAATGCAAAAGTTATGTGACATTTTGTTTTTAAGAACTTTTTTTTAACCTATTTACATTAAACAAAAGTATTATTTATAAATACTTATTGGTTTGTTTTTAAAATAAGATTTTTCAAATTAATTTTAAAACGATAAAAAGTATTATTGTCTATAATATGTAAATTGACTTCTTTACTTCAAGTAAAATATCAAATTGTTCATAAAAACAATTCACTATCTCAAAGTTTCCTTACTCAAAAATTGCACTAGTTAAAAGGTTAACTCTACGACTAGTGGCCTACGCTTACAAAATAAATTATTTAGTCTATAGTTTGACTGTTTAAAAAACAAGTTATAGTGCTCCGTAATTTAAAAGTTTAAGAATATGTAAGTTTTGTTTTTGTGCGTTTTTCTCATTTTTGGAGGGGAAAGGATGAATTTTTAATTATTTAGTTTATAGTTTTTACAATTTACGTATAATTCAGAGTTATTTACCGTGTATAAAGTAGTTCATAATTTATTGTAATTATTTTTTCAGATTTTTTATAAACACAATATAAAATACCACCAACGACAAATAGATCAGTTATTATTATTCAAACCTGTTTTCATCAGAGTTATCTAGTTGTGTCTTTGAAGAACTTGACTCAAAATTCTTCGCGAGAGACCAATTTATAAAACATTTTTGAGCTTCCACATTAACATTAATGTAAACATAATGTTTCACAAAGATAATTTATAAACATTTTTTTTTTAATAACAAGCAAAAGTATTTTTCATTTTATACTTTATAAAGTATGTGCTCAAATATCTTTAATTTATCTACAATATTAATTATTGGACTGATTATCTTACTAAGTGTGTTAATGCAAGATTGTGTTGCAGTTTTTTTATTTCTCAGTTTTTTATATAGGTAATGAGAAAATAGTTGACATCGCTTAAAATTAACTATGATAATTATTTATTAATAATGAATTGTATAATACCATTTAAAACAGTTATTATCTGTATAAATAAAAAACGAACTATTGTTATACATGTATTATAGATTGAGTTAAAACTATTAATTATACATTTTTATATTTATAATAGGAAATTTGCCTGCAATGTATTCGGTGAACAATTTTTAGAACAAATCCGTGCTAAGATAATTCAAAAAGAGTTAGGTATTTTTTTTCATTGTTAAGGGTTTACAAATTGATATGCATACCGTCTTTTGACAGTCAACTTTATTACACACATCTAGCTATTAATTTTAGGAGACTTAAGCATAAATTATAAAGCAATCTATAAAAACGTATGTCTTTACTAGGTTTCGTGTAATAATAGTCTAAACAACCAGGCTCTAAAAAATTAGGAATTTTAATTTTTGAGTAGGATTAAATGAAAATTTATAATAAAAGAGTTAGGTATGTATGGGTTAAGAGGACAGACAAGTTGTAACGATGACAGTGACTAATTTTGAGTATGAATATATATGTATAATTTTATAATTTCTTAGACTAATTAAATGTGTTCAATTTAACATGATTATATTTTAACTATAATTTTTATTTATAAATAAAATTATACAACATGATATTTTTAATTTCTAGTAATTTGACAACACTGGAGTGAAGTCTTCAACACAAGAATTATAATATTATATTTAATTGGTAATCAAATAGTACCATCTGAATCATTTGCTTATAGCCCCCAAAGTATTTAATCCCTGCTCTAGTTATGACTTTTGGAAAAATTATATATCGTTTCCGATGGACTTGAAATTTAATTTATAAACTATTTTATTTGCTGTATTATAATAATTATATGATAACACATCATATGATAATAATTATTATACGATGTGTTATTCAATACACGGACTGTACAGTAACTGTCTACTAAATACATATTATACATTCAAATTAGGTACCACCGGAAACCTGATAGTCTGCAGCCGTTTGTCCTTGGTTGTTAATATTTAATTATTAGAATATATGTATAATAACTACATTGCTATATATGTTTGAAACAACGGCCAACGAATTATGTAGTCATTATGTCTAAGCCACGTGGTTGCTACACTCAATCTTTAGTTATTAATTAAGCTTGTTGTTTTCTTCCTTTTTTTATTCTAGAATATTCGAATGATAAGATAGTTTCAGTGTTATAACATATATACCCACCGTTATACAGTGCTTTACCACGTTTTGAATTGCTCTTAATTGTTTTACTTTCTTAATTTTTTTTTCGGTACCTTTTTATTTTTAAATTTAGGATAGCCATTTTATTAAAAATTAGTTTTTAAAAGTAAAACAGTTAAGTGCAGTAAAAAAAAACGTAGTGTTTATAGCGCAAATGATTATAAATCAATTTTTGAAAAAAAAAATATTGAAAATATTCGATAGAACAAAAGTTATTTCATTTGTCATTATGTCTTTTCGAAACACTCTGTATTCTAATTATATTCTTATAGTATGATTATTATTATAGTTCACACGAGTGACCTTTATCAAGTCACGTAGACCAGATCCAAGAAGTGGGGTATTGGATTATTATTATTTTTTTTTTGTGTCTGGACCCACGATATCTTCTTTAAACCACTAATTTCTTCGTGAAGCAACTGTATAGATCAGACATCGTACCCAAACAGTCCTTTATAGGGCCAAAAATTTAAAAATGTCATCCCTTCCAAGTTGAGAAAAACACCAGAAAAATGTACATATTTGTGAACTTTAAATTACGGAAAATCACTTTGAGTTCAATCATTGGATGACATCCTTCCTTATATTATATCAGGGTTATATTAATATATATATATATATATACATATAAATGTAATATACTGTTTACTTATTATGTCTTGTAGCATAGATTGTAAATATTCATTAAATAAAAAAAAAAAATGAAAATAATTTAGGGTGCCCTATAACTTTTTTTTAAATAGTCAAATTAGTTCCAAATTTGTATAAAGTATTCTTTAAACATTAGAAGAGTTTTTCTTAATACCAATCATTTATTGATGACATAGTTACTCACATAATATCCCATACCTAACATATCCAATATTATTATTGCTCATTTTTTGGCTTTTCCTAAATGGAAAAAAAGATAGACTACATATTTTTTAAAAAAATGTTAAGAGGCCCATTCTAGATCTTTGACCTTTGGCCTAATTTTCAGACCTTAAACCCACAAACTGCACCTAAAAAAGCGGATTAAAAAAAACGTTTCT